TGAAGGAAAATCTGCATCTAGCGATTGATTTTTGCAGTGGTCGCAGAGTCAGTGATGGCCCCCTGTTAGAGAAAGGAAGGGTGCCAAACTGCTTAACAAGATGGACATATGTGTACATAGCTTTTGGGAGTGAAATCAAAACACACATCTGGTAAGGGCCAATTATCTTTGTGATTAAAACTGAGAACATTGTTTTGATGAAGGTGTTACTGTTTAATAACAAAGTTCTCTGAAAGAGCAGAAAGAAGCAAACTATAATAGAACCTAGTTTACTGAGCTCAGCAATACTGTATTTGGAAAAACTCCTTTGTATTCCCCCCCCTTTTTTCTTAGTGTTTGCTTGTTCTTCAGTACTCACGCATTTTTTGACACTAATAAATGCCAGGGCAAGGCTCCAAAATGGTCTCGTTTGTTTTTTAAACTTAAAGATTAACTTTGAAGCATTAACACTGAACCTGTTTGAAATATTAAACTACTCATTGCTGGCAAAAGCGATCTTGAAAACCGACACTGGCAAAGTCTACAGAGGCAGCCAAAGGGTATACTGAAGCGCAATCACTTTTAAGTCAAATGAGTATTTTGGTAATAACAAATTTGTGGCACTAACATTTTGGACCAAAACAGCCTTACTGGAAAGCAAGCTCAGTGAGTTTACTTCCAATAGTCACTGCATTTGTGAAGTACTTGAGATCCTCTGGTAAAAAGCATGATATCAGTGCAACTTATTACCACTGTTTCATCAACTGCTCTTTATTCTAAAAGCGATTCGCTTTGTCAAAATCAATGTAGTTGCCACTTTATTGCTGGTGATTTACTGGGAGCAAGAATGCTTTTTAACCATGTGGCTGTTTTATAAACAGGGCTGTATGCACTTGGTACAACCACAACTGTGACACTCAAGTATGGAATTTGGATCTGGCAATGGTATTCAGGATCCCTTGAATCTCAGCTTTCACAAGCTCTCCCAAAGAGTTGCAAAGAGATGCATGAGGTAAAAAATCTAAAAATTTAAAAATCTAAAAATACCACTGCCTAAGACCTGGGGTCAAGGGAGTGCAGTTTCAATCCAATAAGTTGTTTAGACTACCTCTGAAAGAAGCTTATAGAACATAACTCTTCTCAGGCAGAACCTGGATTTTTCCTGCAGCAAAATCTGAGTTTTTCGGGCACAGATCATTCACAGCCCTGAGTATAATAGGCACAGGTTTAATTTTAACCAATTAAAAGATTATTCCAAACTGCTCTTCCTTTATTGTTATTTTTGCAAGAATGATGACAGCATGCCTTGGACTGAACAAAACCTTAGGACTACACCATGTGCATCTGTAAAAAGTATCCTTGCTGAAGGACAACAGCCACTTATTCTTTTTTAGGATGCTTCTGGAATTAGCTACTTAACTGCTCCGCTCCTTTTTTTCACTGGATGCCTTAAGGACAAACACTCCTATACCTTATCTGGTGGTTCTGTTGGTCAAATCATTTCAAAAACGGAAAAAGGGCTCTATATCTGATCCCCAAGATGCGTGAGACAATGTGAGTGCATCACACCAGTGGTCCATCTGGAGGCAGATAATCCACAGATTTAAACTAAGCTCTGCTGTGATATGCTGCGATAAACCAAGGCAGAATAGGGCCCAAAGTGTTGAAAATGGAGGCAATAGACCTGGTGTGTCTTCTGCTAAGCCCCAAACCGCCAATCATATTCCATATACCGTATACATTAACAGGCTTCTAAGTTACAACCAACACTTGACTTTCTACCAGGTAGAAATTTCAGAACTAGAAAGCCAAAGGACGATTTTGAACCCACCCCCCTTTTGTTCCTCAAAAGGATTCTATTGATCCTTATATGAAATTTCATTACTACTAAAGCCAAAAGCCAATTGAATACAGTAACAGGAAATCATGGCAATGAAAAATGACTTCATACGCAAGCACCGACACACAAGAGAACGTCATGGCCTTTTCTTCATAAAGTTTTCAACGTTGCTCTTAACAAATACCCCTTTTTAAAAAACATGTTGCTGCATTTCATCAAACTGATGGAGGTAGTTATATGTGTAAAAAAAAGTTCTTACCATAAAAGTAACATGTTGTATTATAATAATACATATCAAGTGTGCAAAATGCCGACAGATTTGTGTTGACCCTTTAAAGTTGAACACAATATAGAGATTCAACGCATTCTGGTTTTGTAAACCTTTCATTTGATACATCGGAAAGAGGGTGATAGATATTCAACCATGCAAGACAAAGGTCATCATGATTTTATCACAGGGTGATAAAAATACTCAAGCTCCATTCTTGCTGGTATAATTTTTGATATTCTCAAGATGGGCTTTTCTTATATTAAAAAATGCACAATAAGAATGTTTCTTTTTGTAATTTCGGTTTATAATTACATGTTCTGAGAGTCACATTAATGCTAATAAAATGCCATAAACATATTATTGGCCAAAAGCCATGCCAACATTAACAGGACCCTTTTAAAGCTTGTCTTTGGGAACCTTCAAATATCACCCAGGGAGAATGTATTTTTAACATTGGAATGATATCATCTGTATAACTGCTACATGTATCAATTTCAATAATTTTAACTAAAAGCTGAAGGAAGAATGTTCCTCATACATCTTCCCCGTTCACATTTTAATACTGCATTTTATTAATTTTTGTTTTACTTTCAGCTATAAATTAAGATACCATATTAGCAATTTTATTTAGTGAACTGATACATACTATAATTATCGGAGCACATCTCAAACAAAAAAAAATCATGGCTAGCTACTGTATAGTGTTATAGCAATCCCCCCTTAAAACGCTAGTAACTCTGGAGTCTCTGCTGTTTTAAATATTCCCAGAGTTACATATATAAGCAATAAATTTCATCAGGCAATGCATTTCTGGGTTATTACAACATAGCTTCGAAGGTATTTATAGGCAGGAAGCCAAATGACAAACCAACCAAGCAGCATAATAACCTCCATTCCATGCACTGAGCCATCTTTACCACTTGTAGCAAAGAGAATTTTTACATGATAATAAAGAATTCTTCTAGACTCGATTTACTGGTTGTTGTAGGTATTAAGTGCTGCAACTCAAAGCTCCACAGGATTCCAAAAGCTCAGTGTGCACACCAGCATTTCCTGTACAGAGCACTTCCCCCACCATCAAAAAAGGGGAAGGCTTTTGCACAGGTCTCCAGTAGGCACATCTGGGACTGTGCTGTTCTCCAGAACCCTTTGATTTGCAATGGCATGACCCACCCCACTGTAAACTAAAACCAGTTGTGTCCAGTGTTTATAAAGCTATGTCATAAGCACCCAAAAGGTGTTTTAAGAATAAGAGTGCACCTTCAGAAGACAACACAGAACACAAGAAGCTTGAGCAGGCTATACGAATGGCTCTCATTACCAGTTGAAAATACTGTCTTTACTGGTACACTTGGTTATAGCACCTGGGTATCACCAAAAGACAGAGGAAGTATAAATATCAATGCACATTCAGCAATTTACACTGCTTCTGAACTACTGTTTTTTTTCCTTCTTCCATTAGTACTATCATTATGGTGACATGAACATCATTTTCTGGAGTATGGGGTTGCATAAATAGCGACGAGCAAAATTTGCCCCTTTATACTTCTGAAGTTTACTCTTAATTTTAGAGGGCTCCATAATTTCAACAGGAATAGGGTTGTTTTTTTATTACTTTGGATTAGCAATTTCAGGGCATAGGTATAACAAATCTGTGGATACAGAGCTTCTGCTATCAACTTTGTGAGACACACAAAAAAAGAGGTAAAGTGATGTCTTTTATTGAACTAACCTTCGTTGATGAAAAACTTAGCAAGCTTTTGAGTACATCAATGAAAACTGTTTTATCATCTCTCATTCTTTCAGACTAGAAAATTAATCTCTCTTTACCAGTGATCCTTCTGAACACATTGAATTTCAACTCATATGACTTTTAAAAAAACTAAGTATTTCCATACAATGTTAACTCACAAAGAAATGTAATTCAATAAAAGGCCTGAAGTTTATTAGTCTCTAAACTCTGTTCTCTGATAACCTCTACAGTGTATGCTAGTTTCAATAGCCTAATTTAGGCACTCTAAAAGTTACATAAAATAGAAATATGTCCTTCCATAGAAAGAAATCAACTCTTCAGGCTATTTACTCATCATTTGTATCACAAAGATCTTTCTTCTTCTCCTTTGTTCAAACAAATCATTTCAATAGTAATTTGGAGTAACAACTGGAGTGGCACAGTGAACACCTATTTAAAAAACTACCTTTCTTTGTTACCTCTTCTATCACTTAGTGACACGCTCCAAATCAAAGTTAGGTTTCTCCTTCCTCACCTTAAATTCAAAGTCTTGTATCCCTGCTTGCAGCTAGGGGAAATTAAGAAATAAATTTTAGGCAAGCATAGTATACACTTTTAAAGAAATCAAACAAAGCAAAAATAAACAGCATCTCCATTATCTCTCGCCCCTTCCTGCATCTTTAAAACATGACCTCTTTTGACTTACATTGGCTATGGATTCTTGCAAGATCATGTCATGAAAACTCACAGTGAAAATGACAGATGTATAAATAATTCACAGGTAGTGCTGAGGTCTTTCCCCATTTTTTTTGGCCCCCCCCCCCCAAGGTGACTCTTAGCTGTTTACTTTCAATGGAAGGCTCTGATATAAAGGGAAAGCATCGACTCTGTGGCAAAGAGCTTAACCAGTGGTAGGAGGCATCACATATCTGTGGCATTTTTAAAATGAAGTTGGCAACTGCATGACATTGAAAATGCAGATTACACTTACAGTGTCTAGACTTTCATATATGTGCTCAGTTACGATTAAGTGAAGCAAAAGTGTACATATTATCCCTACTGCTATTCTGCTGCTACAGAGCCGCAAATGTGAAAAGCAATACCTTGAAATAAAGATTTCTTTGTTGCCCCTAGCCTACTTAGCAGCACAGTTTAAGTAGACACAAAAAACTGTGCAGTTGAGATGCCTGGTTTTTTCCCCCCTTCCCAAAGACGTAAACATTAGTCCCAGTGTCGTAAACTTTACTGTATAGGATGAGACAGAAGATCTGAGGCAGAAGCACTATCAAACACTTGTAACAGACGCTTGCAGGCAATTAGCAGGTTTCTGCAGTTTTTCAGCTTCACTTGTTGGTGGGTCAGCAGCTGCTCGGTAGCTGAACACTGGACCCGCACCACAATGCGCAGGACTGAGAGCTGGGTTCTGACGTCGGTTGCTTTCAACGATACTTGAAGTGTTGGAAGCTAAGCTCTCACGAGTGCTAAAGAGGGGGGGAAAATACACATATAACATACATGTATATATATATATCCATCTGCCCTGCCAGAAGGTTAAAACCAAAGAAACTTATAGAAATGGGTTCTTAATATTTTAACACCATGTTATTGCAACAATCTCAGCTAACAATATACCTAGGACAGCGGGAGCACTGCGATTTTATCCCCATGCTGAAAGTTGGTACTGGCTGAGAAATTCAGTGTGCTGGAAACCGATACATATCCTTAATTAAAAAATATATATATTAAAAAACCTTCCTCACCTTTGTGACTGTAAAGATAGGCTTGCAAAGTTTAAGCAATGCCTGTAAAAATGTTCAAAGCCACAGGTTTAGTAATTTCAGTCATCATACTAATTACTCTTAATACCTGAAATCTTCAGTGTTAAAGAATTCTGATCTTGAACGAAAGTCAGAATGCTGAAGTTATCCTTTGTCATTCAAGTGACGCAAACGATATATTCACATTGCTGGGGAAACCAAGCACCTTTGCACTCCCGAATGGTGCACTCAATAACAGGGTCATTGTGTATCAGCTGGGGGGGCTGCATGACTGAACTAAATTATGAGAATTACTGTTGCACCGCAGGCTCCAGCATATCTATCCCTTTCCCCATTGCATACAGAATAATTCAGGGCATATTTAAAGGCTTTTTAGGAAAACCTTCCAAAACAGAAAATGCTTGCAATATGGATACCCATTCCAGAAGTGTTTATTGGTAACCATGGCCAGAGAATGAATTTAGGCATGGGCCAAGCATATTTTAGGCAATGAAGTTACCACACCTTTAATTCTTGCGCACCCATGCTTGTGAACATAGTCAGTAATGACAGATGCAGGTGACAATTATAGCACGTGATGTTAGGTGGCTTTTCTGCTTACACTGTATGCTACCTAATGGCTATCTGTCTGTACAAGTCTGCAAGGCAGTCAAGAATATGTTTGCTTACTTCACGGGGCATATTGCCAATAAATACCTGTTACCAAAAATGGGTTCTGATGTAACATACTAAGAGTCGAAATTTAAAGGATGCTTTCGTTATTTGTTATTATTATCCCTGGGGCTTTAAGTTCAAAAATACCTGAATGATACTGTAACTCTTTTGTAGGAATGTCGAGTGTTTATTATTGGATTCTTTGCATGTTCTTGTTTGCTTTGTTATGAAAAATGAATAAAGAGAAATTAAAAAAAAAGAATATGTTTGCTTTCCTTTCCTTTGGTTGTTCTGCAGTTATTCTTAAGTATAAGTAAGATTCACTTCAGTGTGCTTCTTACACAGTTAGGCATAATTCCACTAAGATTACCACCACCGCCAGGTGGGATCACCCAACCCCTTCCTATAGTTTCCTTTTCAAAAACTTCCTGTGCTGCAAACACTGAAACCAATTAAACACCTCAAAAAATAGTAAAATAGACTCCCATCAAAAATGGGACAACTATTATTTCACTTCCATAACCCAAGGCTCCCAATGATAACACCAATCCCAGAAGCTATTTATAATACATTACTCCAAGGTTTGCAACTTCCTCTCGGGTTTTTTTTAACTTTTTCTTTTTTGTTCCAGATAGGTAGGCTGGAAAGGCAGAGTGGGTTCATGAAATCTGTTAAGAACGCAGATGGCTGTTCCGTGAGTTATCTCTGCTGTGCATTCCAGGAGGAGAGGCCATACAAAAACAGCATGAAGCATGAATTTAAATACTGTGGTAACAGAAGCAGAACACAGTTCTCCTAAAATGATCCCATGTGCAGAGCCCAGGAGAGCACTCTCTTGAAGAGGGACCATAGCCTTTAAACAGGGGTGCAGTGGGGTCCCCTAAACATATGTTTCTGGAATACGTATGTTGACCCACTGAGAGGTTAAGGCAACTGAATACTGCATATGCTTACCAATGATCCCTCTAAGCTGTGGGAGTCTTGTGTGCAAAAATTCTACTTTGTGAGCAACTGGCATTAAAGCGGTGAGCGAGCGATTTGGCTACTGCATAAATTAGTTTGATCTGGAGCCGTCCTTCCTGAGCTAAGACAAAAATGTGTGAGCTGGAGGCTAAAAAACTGTGAGCTAGCTCACAGTAACTCAGCTTAGAGGGAACACTGATGCTTACTAGCCTACCACAGCTAGCAAACAGGGTAGGGAAGGATCTACTCAGAAAGAGCCTATCCTGGAGAATATTTTGTGTATACATCAAAGGAAATGCCATGCCTTTTCTTAAGGATGGGCTAGGAATTGTGCCGAATGATAAAAGTATCAGACTCTTGATCACAGTGAAAAAGAGAGCTTGCCAGAAACTTTGACCCTCTGATCTAGTAGCTTTCAACCCATGTGTTGTGGAGCCTTACCTGCTGTATCATGATTCCCTACAGCCCCACCTTTCTTTTAATGCAGTTTATAACGGCTTGCTGCTAGTGCACATGCACAGCAACCAAGGATTCCTGCCTCTTTTTTCATGCCCGCTTGAAGGAGAAGCAGGACAGCAAGGTGAATTCACTCAGCGGTGGAAAGGATTCTTTCTAGCACAAGCAGGGTCTGCGGCCTTGTTCCCCACCAAAATTCTCCCTTGCCTTCTCTCTCTTCCCAGCCTAGTCTGTCTGTCTCTCTCTCCACCACTCAGTCTGACAATGGTTCACACAAGCTTGGAGTGTGGAACTCTCCTCCTCACCAATGAGGTAATCATCTTGCTCCTCCTCCTCCTATCATGTGACCCTAACAGTGCATAACATTCTGTCAAGTGCTTGCAGCTTGGTGGTTATGATGCTGCCGCCTGGATGATAAAGGTGGCAACCAGTGTTCCCTCTAAGCTGAGTTAGTGTGAGCTAGCTCACAATTTTTTAGCCTCCAGCTCACACATTCTTGCCTTAGCTCAGGAAGGATGGCTCCAGTGCAAAGTAATTCATGCAGCAGCCAAATTGCTCGCTCACAACTTTAATGCCAGTAGCTCAAAAAGTAACATTTTTGCTCACAAGACTCCACAGCTTAGCGGGAACATTGGCGGCAACCCAAGTAAGAAACAGCTAAAGAACAATTTTCTAATTGTTCTAATCTATTAAACCTGAATTCCTTAGAATGTTAAAATATTGAGTCTAAGTCTGATTTAACATATGAAAGAGCTAAGCGGAGGCAAAAATGTAAAATTTTGAATCAAACGTAATTATGACAAATTAGGTAAGATGTTACAGTTACTGTTCAAATTCTGATACTTTAAACTCTTGTTAGCGACAACAGAGTACCCAGTTTAGGAGGGGCAGCTGAAAGTCAATCAATCAATCAGAACCTTTATTGGCATATCAGCTGAAAGTCACACAATACCAGGATACCTTTTAAGTTCAACAGAACTCTTCCTCAGAGTGGGTATTGAACAAAAATTAGGGGTAGGGTAAGAAGAAGGAGACACTGCTGAGATTTGTTACCAATTTATTTATATTTGATTTTGAAAGTCACATTCCATATCCTTCACTGGCAGCATCTTTTTCTCTCAGTTCTCCAATTTTGGGTGTAAAACCCAGCTTGAGCAAGAATTATGAGAAATTCAAAAGCTATCTCACTATTTCATTACCTTCATTTGGGTTATCTGCCGCATCCTATACATGTTTTTTTGAAAGTAAGTCCTGCTGACAGCATGATTCTATGCATGTTTCGTTTATGCAGAAACAAACCGCAGTATGTTCATTTCATAGTCTGTTTTAGAAGTTTTACCATCTCTAGTGTACAGACTGGGGGTCATCAAGAACTCCATTTCCCCCCCTGTATTTTGAAGCGTTATGCAGGGGCACCTGAAAGTCTGCTCACTACTCTGTTGATATTTCAGTTCCATCTACAGCTTTGGATTTTTCTAATGGACCAGCACAGTTACCTGCAACAGAAGTTCAAGCATATTGAGGACCTACATTTTAGTACTGAACTCCCTAATTTCAGAATTTCAGATATATTGGCTTTTTGTTTCTGTCTTTCTACCCGCCCGCCCCCCAAGTTTGATATGTTTGCAGTGTTGACCAATGCTCCCTCTAAGCTGCGGGGTCTTGTGAGCAAAAATTCTACTTTGTGAGCTGCTGGTATTAAAGTGGTGAGCGAGCAATTTGGCTGCTGCATAAATTAAGTTTGCTCTGGAGCCATCCTTCCTGAGCTGAGACAAAAACGTGTGAGCTGGCGGCTAAAATACTGTGAGCTAGCTCACACTAACTCAGCTTAGAGGGAACAGTGGTGTTGACCATAACCAATGAAAGCAGGTGATTGCTTTCACTGTGAAAACTGTAAGATATTTTTCTTTATAATGTAATATACAAAAGCTGAAATATTTCTGCCTAATACATTATTTTATTTTTAAGTATATATATCTCTCCTCCTTGTTGATGACTGATGGGCTGTTTGTTTGCTGTGTTCACTTGCTTCTTCACAAAATATGTCCAGCTACAGACGATTTCTGCCTGTATAGCTTCTTGCCCACCCCAATGGAAGCAAACTAAATATGAAAAAACCACCCTCTATTTACTTTAGCCTAAGATTTATCTCTTAGGTGAGTTCACAGCACAGATAAGAGCTTTTGGACATACAGGAGCTCTTTCTTCCTGAAAAAATGTACCATACTGATCATTACAAATATGCAGATAGTGGTAGATTTCCCACTAATTTGCGAGCACAATGTTGGCTAGTTAACCAAGAGGTTTACCAACAGACTGCTTTTACAGACTTACGGAATTCCACACAAACATAAGCTTGATATAAACAGTCTAGCCAGAGAATCTGTCTTCACATATCTGTATCAAATATGTGTCTTTAAAACTTGGCAACATGATAGAGATCATGACCATCTAAAGTATGCTTGTCCATATAGGCTCAAAGGCTGGCTATTTAGCTTGAATATTCTGTAAATAACTGGAATTATCTCCGTGCAACAAACTCATAAATACTTGGTTGCTACCAACTTTCGGACAGGTAATCAGCCAACCAAACACATCAAGATTGCCCCAAGCTGCAGAAAAAGAAATGCCATCAATTTTGAAAAAGTAAAAAATATAGCCCCACAATACTTAATTAATAGGAAATGCTAAAGTTAGGTTAAAGTACTACAGATGTTTATAAATGCATTGTGTAGTCCTACCGTGGAGAATTGAACCCACTGTCAACAGTGATGCTGCTGCTGTCCATGCTGTCCAGTCTAGCTGAATGTGTGGCCCTCTGATTGTTGCTGTTTTCAGTTTCCTTTGGAGTCAGGAGTGTGAGATTTTTCTCAAACTTCCTTTGCAGGTCTCTTTCCTTTTCCCGCTCAAGAAGCCACTGCATAGTACCCACATCATCCCTATTCTTCTCTTCTTCAGCATTTTTATTTGCCCCTTCATCGGAATCATCATCATCGGACACATTGTAATAATCAAATGATGCTTCCTGGTTCCCAGCTGGCTCTTGTTGTCTCTGTGAAACAGGAATAACTTGTGTAACGGAGGTCACCATTGTTTGCTCAAGTTTGTCGCATCTGCTTGGCAATGTGTCCGACGGCACCTTTTGATGAGGTTTTAGTAGTGGCACACTGGGCTTATGGAAACTGTTCACAGACAGAGTACTGTGGAGAGGCTTAAAGAGTGTGTCTTTGCTAAATATTTCTTTCCTCTTATCAAGGCTACTAGATTCTGTGTTGTGATGCTGAACCAGTCGGCCATTTGCGATGACTTCGGGGGGTTGGCTGGTAGCAATTAGCCCGCCACTATTGTTTGGCCCCTTAGGTGACTCCTCTTTGTGTACTCCTGGGTCTCTGGCTATGTGTTGTGACTGTCTCTCTGAGGGAGACACTTTTTTAATACTATCTGTCAAAGTCACTGTGTCATGGTCATCTTTATTTTTCCCTAAAGGTGAAGGAGCAGTAAGTACAGTCTCACTAGAAGTGTTACACTGAAAGTAATCATCAGTAGCTGATTTTGTTGTACAAGAATTGAGCTCACTATAGGTTGGTAAATTCTCTGTTGACTTGTTTTGTTCCAACAAGCTACAGGGAGTGTCTGCATTGCCACCTGTCTTTTCAGGTTTAACTACCTCTTTGTAGTTTACGGATGACATCAGAGCCCTTTGATGACTGAGCGACTGCGAAGGCCTTAAGGTGCTATCATCAATGTACGTTTGGCTAGTTGTTTGGTCATCTTGGCTGCAAGCTTCAGCTATCTCTTCAGGAGTACCTAAAGAAACAGCACCCAGGGGTCCTTTTGAGTTATCCATTGATCGAGACCGCTCCTTGGCTTTATTAGACCTCTCATTTCTCGATCGTCGGTCCTGCGTATGGCTGTGGCTTCGATGGACCTTAGAATGGGAGCTTCCCCTCGATGGTTCTGGAAAAGGCATCTCAGTTCTTCTTTTGGCTAGTTCACCAGAAACATCCCATTCAGGTGTCATTGGAAAATGAGATTCAAGAACATTTGGGCTGCTATGCATGATAAAGTTGTCCCTTTTGTGTTCTATTATGAAGCAGCCTTCTCGCGGGGACCTAGTGAGGGGGTCATAGAAATCATAGTCTCTTTCACCTGGTACGTCCAAATGGGATCCTTCTGAAGGATCTCCTTTAGAGACCCGAGTTTTGCTGTGTGACCGAGATTTTCCGTGAGACTTCCTATGACTTCTACTTTTTTTACTTCTTGCACTATGGTGAGCGGAAGATCCAGCCTTGCTTCGTTGAGCCTTTTCTTCTTCAAGTTTTTTCATTAGTGCAGTGTGCCTCATAACATTTTCTACAGTCAAATCTGGGTTAATACGCCTAATAATCTCCATCTCTACCTCCCTAGGTATAGTGGTAGGAGTGTCTTCATCCCTCAAAGGCCATTCCTCAGGAGGAAACTGGGCAGAAAAATTGGCCAGTTGCTTTGTCTTGTCCTTTTTGAAACTCAGCCGAAACAATTTTAGCCCAAATTTTTTAGACTGCTTTTCTCCATCTTTAGGCTTTGTAAGTGTCTCGGTTTTATATGAAAAATTTACAGTACTTTTACTTTTTTCAGTGGGTGGCACCTGGCACAGAGAAGGGGGGCAATAGGAGTCCTTGCAGTCTTTTGCTGATTTTCTCTGTAAGGTAGAGGCATGCATACTGTGCATGTCTTCTCTGCAACAATGACAAGAGTCGCAGTGGTTTTTGGGTAACGTTCTGTCTCTGACGCAGCCTGAGGTGGAAGGAGTTATAGTTCCTTGCTGTGGAGAGGTACACTGAGACCTGTCAGGTATCCTCTCATCAAGATGGTACCATTTACTGTTAGTTCTTATAAGAGATGGAGTTATAAAATATGTCTGTGGAGTCACAATGAAGTAGCCATCAGGCGTTGGGTATATTTTCCTCTCTCGGACAAGCATGTTTAAGGTATGGCGAAGGATTTCTGGACTTGGAGTTGGAACACCTAAAAAAATAAAAATGTATCTTATAAATGAGTTTTGTCACGGGAAAAAAAAAATCAGAACTCTCATTTTAAGCTCTTGCCTGCAATATTAGGCTTTGACAAGATTTCAGAATTAGTGTGCTGGGCAAAGATCGGATGTCAAACAAGATGTAATGTCGGGAGATCTGTGAAATGATCTCTCATAGGTATTTTAAGAGGGTAAACAGCTGTCACTGGGGATAGGAAGATGGACTACGATCCTTTCCCAATGCATCATTTTCTCAACCCCACCCAGCTCCCTGGACCCGCTTTTCTCCTTTGAGGAAGGAATTGTATAGTTACCATATAAGTGTCTGCATTTCCTCACACACAAACATACACAAGGAAAGTAGCAGAATTGGGGACCTGACTGGGATTGGGAAAATGTTTTAAGCTCTCCCCACCATGATGCAGTTCTCCTCTAAATCTTACATCTCCTATTGCTGCTAACCCTTGGAAAAAACATACAGGATATTTGCTCATGGATCTCCCAACAACATGTCTAGTTTTGTCTGTCTGTTTTTCACTTACTTCTTGCACTTCAGGTTTATTAAATAGAAAAGAGAAAGCATTAGTGAAGTGTGAAAACTCATTTCAAAAAAATGTTTTTGGTGAACTTTAAAGGTCAAAATCACAGCTTCCAAACACCCAGAAAACATTGCAGGGTACCCATTCCCTCTTCAATTCTGGTAAAGTATTTCTATCCTAATTATCTGACACCCCCCCCCCCGAACATAAAGTCATAGTAGAAAATGGCACAGTTCTCCTCTTCTACGAAAAAAAAAATCCTGCAAAAATTAGGTTAACATTTCCTTTAAAACCACATTATCTCTAAAACAGTATCTTTTACAGAAAGTTCAGCGTAACATTCATCACATACCAAGGGAAAGAGTTATTTCATTGTCAGGCCAAAGTTAGGCCTGGTCTATACAAGGAGCAGAATTAGGTGGTAAGAAGGTGGCAGAGAACACCACAGCCCAGTTACTATCAGGCACTAGGGAAAATATACATGTCACACATAGCCTGCAGTTACCCTACAGGTTACCAAGTTGTATTCAAGAGAAGACTGCCAACTCTGGACTGGGAAATTCCTGGACAGTTGGAGAAAAAACCCGGGGAGGGTGGGGTATAAAGCCTCACAGTCCACCCTCCAAAGCAGCCATTTTCCCCAGGAGAGCTGATCTCTGTCCCTTGGAGATCAGTTGTAATTCCAGGAGATCTCCAGGCCTCACCTGGAGGTTAGCAATCCTAATTCAAGGTTCCGCTCATCAAATACAAAGCCCTTAGACCCACATACCTGCGGAACTGTCTCTCTTGCTCTGCTCTGCTGTGACAGTTTCACTCATTTGAACAAAGTCTTCTGAAGGTGCTACCTGTGCATGGGCAAGACCAGCAACTTCCTGTTCTGCATTGTCTGTGGTGGTTCCCACCATATGCAACAGCCAGCCTGAGAAGGTCAGGAAGGCCCCCACACTCCTAACAATTCACAGAATGTACAAAACAGAAATGTTCAAGAGGGCATTTCTATAAAGGGATTAGAACTGCAGTACAACGGAACAGCTCAGAAAGTTGCTGTTACTAGGGGAATAAACTGTAGTCTGTTGCAATGTTTATTATGTTATTACCTTGCTTAACTGCATTGTCTTCGACCTTTGCAATCCACTTTCTGTATTAAAGTATGTCAAAACTTACACACTTTTTTTGCACTGTTTTCTATTGGATGTCTTATGCAGTCTGACTGAATTGTCTTTTTATGTTTTATAATCTGCCCTGAGTCTCAGTGAGACAGGCAGTCTATAAATGAAGCAAATAAATAAAACTACCACCAGAGAAACTATGCGGCTAAGATATGAGATGCTTCAACTGATTTCTTCCACACTATTAATGCACAGAAGAACTTTTCAGAGCAACTCTATACAATATAGTACATCCCACAACATGAAACCGTCTAGCAGAAAATATGGATGAAGAGCTCTTCATCAACTATCCTATTTCAAGTTGTACTGCCACCAAATACCAGAAGCAGGGCCCTTTCAGATCACTTCTTTTGGTAGACCAAAAAATGCACAAGAGAAAGTAACACTGTGAGATAGCTTATGAAAACTGCATTAGGATGTGCTTGCTTGTTCAAAACCATCTTAGTGTTATCATACAATTGTGAAAATTCAGCTATTAGAAAATAGCTTTAATTATAACATAAAGCAGTTAAGATACACCTATTCACTATTGTCTGCACTGAAAGCTCCAATAGTTAATAAAGTTATAAATTGGCCCATTTATTTTATAAATGCTGAAACACAGAAGCAGAAATTACATATAATTACACAGAGTTGAATCCAGCTAGCTGTTTCACTTGGTCTGGTTGAATTCCCTTTCTTATATCCTACACAACTTTTGTCTTTGTAGGCCTTAAGATGTCCAGTATAGCCTTTCTGATGGATCCCGCCTCTTCCCTTTTTCAGCATCAGAAAAGCTGGTTGGCTCCATCCCAATTAAAACAAACAGGAATGACAGCTGAGGGTATAACAAGAGTTTTAGACATTATAGTTAATCAAGAAGCATTAATACAGAGATTAGAAAAACTGGGAACAGCTTCTGTCATGAATGAAGCAATGGTTCCTAAAACTAAACTAAATCTGTGGTATCAAATATAAGACAGAGGAACTTGATAATAAATACTGAAGAGCTACTATGAAAATCAGAGGATAGAAAGGACACCAAGGTGACAATCTGCCAGCATATCTGGAATATTTATTTTCAGATTGAGAGGATTCAGATCATAAAAAACAAATTGGGGAAATGCAGGCTGGATCCAATCCACAGAAAATAAGTTCAGAGAATAAAATAAGACAGACGACAAAAGTATCTGTCCTTAATGTCTAACTGGAAAGGAAAACACACAACTTTCAAACAATTCTCTCTCCAAACTAGCAAAGGATGAACTGCCCTCAGCACACTCCGTAATTAGCCTGTATTTTGAAGGTTTCTCCAAAAAAAGGCTGAAGGTCTTTCAAAGAGAATTCTTCAAGAAAAGTGAACCTCATGGCAAAGCAGACATTACAGCACAGCTATCCCTACGTTAAGTTCAGCACCTAGAACAAAAAACGCAGTGACAATTTCAGAGCCTTATTTTTACTATACAGTTTCCTTGAAACAGAATATGGGTTTTAGGGTACATGAAAGCTATGCAATACAAACACCTAATTGCTAGGAGAATTTTAATTTTCTTTATTCTGAAATTAATTTATTTTACTGGGTTTAAACATTTAGTTATGGCAGTAACTTTTCAGCAATTTCAATCTCATCAACTGTGATTAGACAAATAGCACAAAACAAAAGCGGAGGGTTTTTTAATTTCTGAAAACACATCTTGAAAGCTAGCAAAATGATTTCTCAAGCATAGCCCATAACCCATCAAATTCGAGTATACCTATTTTACACTTAGAGAAGGAGAGAGAATTAAGAATTAAACACATTTTAAAGATCATATAAAATTCACAGTACCATTAGAACTAGAAATATGATGGGTTATTTTCCCTTATCTTCCTTTAAGTAAATGTGGATGCTTCATCTTCAAAACCCACTCTCGTTTCTCCATTTCACCAGTAAATTCTTCCAAGAATAACAACAAAAAGAACTTAAGAGAAGCTAGAATTTAAAATATTGCTTGACAGCAGTGGTGTTATTTAAGATTATGTAGTGCTTTAATAATTCAAAAGCAAAATCTGTCTGGACACTGAATCACCAGACATGTACATTTTCTGCATCTCAAGAGAGCATACTGTGCCCTCCGCTGAGCTTCCAGACAGAAGATTATGTCTTGTTTGCCACTCACAAAAGAAGACTGACCTAAGGTGAACTCAGTTAAATGTAAGGCACGTTTCAAGCTGTTACATGTAAATTGGATGCAATTTAGAAAGAAAATGCATACGAATCCTCCTTTTGGCCACAATGAAACAGGGCAACTGTTAGAAGAGAACAGCATTTTTATTTTCCAAAGACAATGGCACCAATTGCTGAATTTCAGTTTTCAGTATACATATTCAGCTATCTTGACTAAAAATAGCCAACTGTTCTGATGATTTCTCCTGTTTTTCATGCCTAAATATACAAAATAATTCCTGTTCTACACAGTTCTTTTTGAATAATCTATACCTCCTCACCACCAGGGCTTTTTTTTGTAGAAAAAGCCCAGCAGGAACTCATTAGCATATTAGGCCACATCCATGACAGCACAGCTCATTAGCATATTAAGCCACACCCCATGTTACCAGAAGTGTAGTCATCCAGCCACACCCACCTTATTCTGTTTACCTTGTTTGTTGTCAAAACCCAGGGCTTTTTTTTTGGAGCAGGAACTCCTTTGCATGTTAGGCCACACCAGCCCCGTAGCTAGAGATTATTGGGGGAGGGGGCCTGGAGGGGGTCTCAGCTAATTAAATAAAAGTTAATCACATTAATTCAATTTGGGACTGGCCCGGGAGAGAGGGGGCCCAGAAGAAATGCTAGGGGGCCAGGCCCCACAGGCCCCGTGTTAGGTACGGGCCTGGGCCACACACCCCTAATGTAGCTAATCCTAATGAGTTCCTGCTGTTGGGTGTGGCCTGTTATGCTAATGAGTTCCTGCTGGGTGTGGCCAACTTGGGAGCCAGCCGGAACTCTGTTCCTGTGCGTTCCTGCCCAAAAATAGCCCTGCTCACCACACATCTCTGTTGGGACTCTGGTCTACTATGTAATGCAACTCCTAAAATTCTTTTGGTCTGTCCTGGTTTAGCCTCAGAGAATATTGTTTAACCTCTCTTTAAAGAATAATTTGTATCAAGGAACTCCTTGGTATTTCTAATAAGGGGTCATCTTAGAATGAATGGCTTTAATGTGTATTCAGTATGACCTGCCAGGTAAGAGAATGCGATGGTACTCTTTTTTCTCCACTTGTTTCTCTCAATATGCCTGAATTTACTTTCTGTTTTCCTGAAAGAACC